ACCCTATGAAAAAGAGCTTTGTAAACAATCCTGATGCCATTAAAACCCATAGCAACAATACTCTTCAAACATTCAGAGATTAGACAAATGTGATGCAATGAGTGTTGGACAAGGACTCTGAGAAACCAAAGTTCAACACAACCCAGCCATCAGCACCCACTAGGCAACCTTGAGCAAGTCTCACTCTCTCACCCATAGAAGGAAGGTAATGGTAAGAGTACTTTGAACAAATCTTGCCAATAACACATTGGGATAGGGTTCCCTAAATCAGAGTCAACATGGGGTGCATCTACACCAGAACTTTTCGAACTATGTATCACAACATGTTAGTTTGTTGGCTGCAATGTGTTGATGTGTCACACAAATGTAATGAGAAACCTCTGAATCCATGTGAAAAAAGCACTACCAACTTGCATGTAGGTTTATGCCACAAAGGTGCCAATAGTATGATGCACTAGCATATCCTCCTTGGAAAATCTTGGAAATGTATGTTATTATCTTACAAATCATATATATTTTTAATATGGTTTTCATGAAATGGTTGAATTCTCACATATTTTGTTACTCCAATTGATGTATGTGTCCATATCTCTTACAAGGGCTTAGTTTAATCTCTGGCTGGCTAGTAAAGGTAAAGGTTTTCCCTTGACATTAAGTCTACTTGTGTCCGACTCTGGCGGGTGGTACTCCTCTCTATTTCTAAGGTGAAGAGCCAGCATTGTTCATAGACATCTCCAAGGTCACGTGGCCAGCATGACTGCATGGAGCACCGTTACCTTCTTGCCAAAGTGATATCTATTGATCTACTCATATGAACTGCTAGTTTGGCAGAAGCTGAGGCTAACAGTGGGAGCTCACACCAGTTGCTTGGCTGAATGGGGTATAGGGTGGCAACCTGTGTTTAACAGGGTTACAATCCCCCTGAAGACACAGGTCCACAGTTTACTCAGTGTGGACGCTTGATGGTCAAGTGTCGGCGGTGGCCGGGAGGGCTTTTGCACAGTTAAAGCTTGTGCACCAGTTGCAACCGTACCTCGAGAAGTCTGACTTGACCATGGTGGTCAACGCCTTAGTTACCTCAAGATTGGACTACTGTAATGCATTCTATGTAGAGCTGCCCTTGAAGACGGTTCAGAAACTACAGCTGGTGCAAAGGTCAGCGGCCAGATTGCTAACTGGAGCTAGTTCAAACAGCTCCACGGACTACTGATAAGTTTCCAGTCCCACTTCAAGGTGCAGGTTATTCCCTATAAAGCTCTAAACCAGGGATCCACAAACTTTTTGAACAGAGGGCCAGGTCACAGTCCCTCAAACTGTTGGAGGGCCGGATTATAATTTGAAAAAAGCATGAATGAATTCCTATGCACACTGCAAATATCTTATTTGTAGTGCAAAAATAAACCCACTTAAAAATAATACAATAATTAAAATGAAGTACAATTTTAACAAATATAAACTTATTTGTATTTCAATGGGAAGTGTGGGCCTGCTTTTGGCTGATGAGATAGGATTGTTGTTGTGTGCTTTCAAGTTGTTTCAGACTTAGGTTGACCCTGAGTAAATGACCTTGAAGGGCTGTATCCGGCCCCCCGGGCCATAGTTTGAGGACCCCTGCTCAAAACAGTTAAGGGCCTGCCTATCTTCGTGACCTCATCCTCCACTACGAGCCCACACAGTCCTTAAGATCTTCCGGGGATGCTTTTCTCTTGCTCCCATCCCTGTCTCAGGCACGGTTTGTGGGGATGAGAGAAAGGGCATTCTCGGTGGTGGCCCCTTTTCTCTGGAACTCCCTTCCCAGGGAAATTAGGCTGGCCCTCCCTATCCACATTCTGTAAGGAACTAAAGGCGTGGATGTTTCGTTGTGCATTCGATTGATGACTCCTGTGACAGCATCTGAATCATGACCCGTATTGTGACCTGAATCCTAATTCCTATATTTAATTACTACATTTTTAAGTTAAGTTGAATTGATTCTGTTAAATTGCTCTAATTCTATGCTTGCCTTGAGTCGCTGATAGGCTGAGAAAGGCGGTATACAAATTCCTATGCTACTGTACAGTACTATTCAGCGTCATCCTTGGCAGCCTTCCAGGCTGTGATGGAGCACCCAGAGGCCAAAGCATCCCGGGCAAGTCCCAAGAGGGATGGATGCAGGGGTCATGCTGGCCACCTTCGCAGCCGGAGATTTCGTCATCTTATTCTTCAACTACTTTTGCATACTGGCCTCCTCCCCACTTTCAAAAATGAGTCTGTTGTTGCTTATGATGTTTGCTTATTATTATTTATGTTGTTTTTATGCTATTTTAATATTTTATTGTTCTGCTTTAACTGTATGTTATTTTGGGCTTGGCCCCATGTGAGCCGCCCCAAGTCCCCTTGGGGAGATGGAGGTGGGGTAGAAAAATAAAGTTCTTCTTCATTCCCTGGATTCAAACTGCTGACCTTTTGGTCAGCAAGTTCAGCAGCTCAGTGGTTAAACCTGCTGCACCACCGGGGGCTCCTCCAGCTGGCTTGTAGTAGTAATAGTAATAACAATAAGCTTTATGAAGGGGCTCATAAAACTGAATTACTATCACAAAAGAATAAATGTCTACAAAGTGTCTCATGAACATGAAATGTTTAGAAAGCTCTGATCTACACTGTAGAATTAATGCAGCGTGTCAACAGTATCAAATCTTCTAAGCTAGTTTTACAAGGTCTTTAGCCTTCTTTGCCAATGAGTGTTTCATCTAACTATACTCCCAAGGTCCTATAGCAGAGATTTGGACTTCAACTCCCACCATTCCTAACAGCCTCAGGCCCTATCCTGAGGAGGAAAAGGAAGGGGCCTGAGGCTGTTAGGAATGGTGGGAACTGAAGTCCAAAACACCTGGAAGGCCCAAGTTTGCCTATGCCTGTTCTATAGCACTGAGCTATGGCTACTAAAGCAGTGTCAAACTGTGTTAATTCTACAGTGTAAATGCCCCCTTGGAGGCACAGAGAAGCGACAGGTAAGGAAGCCACTGGAGAGGGAAGGAAGCCCTCCCAGGGACATGCTTGAGCTTTGAAGCCCCTCTGGGCTCCCTCCCAAGACTCAGCGTCATCCTTGGCAAAGCCTTCCAGGCTGTGATGGAGCACCCAGAGGCCAAAGCATCCCGGGCAAGTCCCAAGAGGGATGGCTGCAGGGGTCAGGCTGGCCACCTTCGCAGCCGGGGATTTCGTCATGCTCTCCGCCGCTGCCAAGCCCCGTTTGGAAGGCAACTCCACACCTTCTCCGACCCGATCTGCGCAGCTTCCTCGTAGCGGCCGCTGACTCCCTTCCGAAGGAAACGGAGCCCTCCCTGCCTCCCTCCCCTCGGTCCGATCCACACCCACCCGCCTTGTTCCGCCTTCGCAGCACCCGAATACATTTCACACGCGGGCTAACCTTTGTCTTCTCCGTCCTCGGGTATCGGACAGACATGAGAGACAAACGGGAGGCAGGCGGGGGGGGGGGGTCCAAAGGAAGCCAGGCCCGATCCCAGGCGGGGGATCTGTAACTTTAAGAGGCGCGAGATCCCGGGCCATGTGCTCCGTGCGAAACAAAAGCAATAACAAAGAGCTCGGAGGAGGCGGTCACAGCAGCCTCTTCCTCCTCCAGCCTGGTCCCACCGCAAAGGGGACCCGCTCCCATCCCACCCCTTCCTCTCCTAGAGCTGGAAGAGAGCCCAAGGAGACCCCAGGCCAACCCCATTCGCAGGCAAGCCGAGCACCCCCGACAGAGGACCATCCAGCCAAGACAAGGAACAATCAGGATCAGCTAATCACCTCCCAACAAAGGGAGGCAAGCTGCAGCCAGATCTTGTAGCTCCCCAGGCAGGAAGCAGTCAGACCTTGACGCTGCAAGAGCATTCAATGCTAACTGAAGTCGTGGTTCTGGGACCAGGCTTTTGGACAACAGACATAGATAGCACTTTGGACAGGGAATTGGATACAGAATTGACTGGAATGATGATGCGGCTATTAATATGGTTTTTTTTTACTGTTTTAATGAATGTTTACTTATGGTTTTAATTGTTATTTATTGCTCTGTTATATGTCGTGGCATCGAATTGCTGCCAAATGTAAGACGTCCTGAGTCCGCCTTCGGGGGCTGAGAAGGAACGGGAGAGCAATCCCGGAAATAAGTAAATACATAAATAAATAAGCAAGGTGGCCAATTGCAACATTCACGCGTGCCTCAAGCAGACAAGAATTCTTTCTCCCACGCTGGACATGATTCCACAGATATAGAAACCCCATTTGCCTAGTTTCCAACAGACCTCACAACCTCTGAGGATGCCTGCCACAGATGCAGGCGAAACGTCAGGAGGGAATGATTCTGGAACATGGCCATATAGCCCGAAAAACTCACAGCAACCCAGTGATTCCGGCCATGAAAGCCAACGACACTACACCCAGCCTCTGCTTCAAAGCCTCCCGAGAAGGAGACTCCACCGCACTCCAAGGCAGCACTGGGAACCAGCTCTTGTCATGGGGAGGCTTTTTCCCCTCGTGCATATTGCGTCTTCCTGCAGAATAGGGTTGGGCTGGATGGCCCTTGGGGGTCGTCTCCCAACTCATAGCCTTGGGAGCCGATTCCAAGGAGCCCCTTCCCCCGGCTCCGCTCTTCCTGGCTCCCAAACAAAGGCATCCACCTCGTCGGGAAGGAGCAGCACGTGTCAGCCAAGCAGGAGCAGCCTCCCACCCCCCTCGGCTCCTTTGTATCCCCGGTCCGCGGCTCCCTCTTCTCGGGGGGAGAAAGAAAGGAGGGGGGGGGGTGCAGGTGGCCACGCAGGGCCAACCCAAGGGGAGGGAGGGAAGGCACCCAGGCCGCGTTGCTGCAGCCTCTGCTGCTTCTTCGCCGGCCTTCCCGCCCCACACAGCCCCCCCAGGCCGCGCTTTCTTCCCAAGAGGCAGGCTGTGCAGCCCCCCAGCCGACAACACCCGCTTCCCTGCAAGGCGGGCCCTCCCCTCTCTTCCTCCCCTGGCGCCCTCCGTACCTGCTCCACTTCTCTCTCGCAATGCAATTGCGACCCAAACAAGGGTGCTGCTGGTTGGTGGAGGCCCGCCCCCCCTTCTTCCCTCGACATATGCGCAGCTGCCGCGGCTGCTTCCGGTGCCTTCTTTTGTTTTCTTTCTCTCTGCTCCCAAATTGTGGGCCCGCGGTTCAAAAAAAAAAAAAAAGGGGGGGGGAGGAGAAGAAAGAAAGGGGGCAGCTGTGGCCCTCGGGTCTCTGGCCCTTTAAGAGCCGCCCGGGCCGCCAACTGGGGGGAGCAAAGGGCGCGTTTGATTCTTAACAGGGGAAGGGGGAGCGCGAGCGCGCGCCCGAGGCGAGGGAGGGAGGGAGGGAGGGAGGGAAGGCGCTCGAGCGCGCGCGCGMGAGAGAGGAAGAGAGCCCGGGCTGCGACACGTGACCAGGCGCGCGCCCCAACGCCGCCTCGCGCAGCCGCGCCTGCTGCTGCTGCTGCTGCTGCTGCTGCTGCTCCCATCGGCGGCAGAAGAAGAAGGAGAAGAAGCCCCGCCAGGAGCAACAGCAACAGGGTCCAAACGTAGAAAGAGGGGGTGTTAGGAAGCAGCCATGGCAACTGCAACCGGGGAGGATGGAGCCCAGAATTGGTAACACAGAGATACGGTGTACCCACGCAAAACAGCCCAGTAAGCAAACTAGTCGGTGCAACTTTTTATTATTATTATTATTATTGCAGCATTAGAAGGGTTACTTTGGCATCATTCTCCACTGTGCTGACCCTCCATCCCACTTTAGAAAGGGTACATTTAAAGCGCCATTGTTTGAGTGCACAGATCTTTCCCTGGGACTTATGGATGCATCTACACTGTGGGATTTAATGCAGCCGTAGCTTTAGGAGGCTTTTAGACTTCTCTGCCAAGAGCACTGGTGCCCCACCAAATTACATATCCCAGGATTCTATAGCCTTGAGCCATGGCAGTTAAAGCATTGTATTGTCGAAGGCTTTCATGGCTGGAATCACTAGGTTCTTGCGGGTTTTTTCGGGCTATAGGGCCATGTTCTAGAGGCATTTCTCCTGAGAACGTCAGGAGAAATGCCTCTAGAACATGGCCCTATAGCCCGAAAAAACCCATAAGAACCTAGTTAAAGCATTGTCAAACTGTGTTCATTCCACAGAGTAGATGCACCCTAAGAAAGCAACTGGGGGTTGGTAGGAAGCAAGCTAGGATGTCATTGCCCTCTGACCTCACTATTAACAATCCCCCTAGCATTTAAATAGGGAATGAGATTCTCCGGGTGTTAAAATCCCAATCTGGAGTTTTTTTTTCTAAAGCAGCTTGATGGCCATCTATCAGGAGTAGTTTGTTTGGGTATTCCTGCAGAATGAGTTTGCACTGGATGGTCCTTGGGGTCTTTTCCATCTGTTGATTCCAGATTGCAATAACCATCATCACACACCCGTGGTGAAAACAGCACTTCATCATCATTGATAGAAGGGCTTCTTAAACTTGTGACCCGTTTCCCCCCTAGAAATTTTTATGTGACCCTGGGTATATATAGGTATATAAAATAGGAATACAACTCCAACTTTAAAAAAATATTGGATGGTTAAAACCATTGATGCAGAGGGCTAACTATACCGCAGCAATAACTTTTAGTATTTATCCAAGTACGTAAACACCAAACCTCTTAAGTTAAATACAGCGGGTTCTCAGTTTCTACTTGGGTTTGGTTCCAGGACTTTCAGTGGACTCCAACTCCGCTGGATGCTCAAGTGCCATCATGCATAAGGGTGTAGTAAGAATGTTGCTTATGTAAAATGGCAAAGTCAAGCTTTGTTTTTTGCATGTATGTATCAATATTTTAAGTCATGGATGAATGAATCTGTGGATAAGGAGGACCCTCCCTATTCCAAAGCAAGATCTGTAGAAAGGTTAAGGTGAAATCCTTAAAATAACACCCCCTCCAAAAATTTCGTTCAATCAAGGGTTAGGGGGAAGGATGGATAGCAAATTTCTAGAGTGGTTGCCAGGGGTATCCTTCTCTCTCACCCTCACACACCTATGGTGCCAGGATGGTTTCTTTCTCCTTCATCCATCCACGTGGCCGGTTGGGTCCCCCTCCTCAGCAGTTTTGGCTTGGTAGCAACAGGGAGCAGGCTTTCACGGCCCACAGTTTGACCTTGAGGACTACACCATTCCTTCATACATACAGCTAGCTTCCATATTACAGATTGTGCATCCACAGATCCAACAATCCATGACTTACAAATATTACAAAAGAACATTTCCAAAAAGCAAACCTTAATTTTGTCATGCTTTTTTTTTAACTATGCTGTTGTAGATAACAGGGCTTGAACATCCACAGATTGCGGTATCCATAGGGGCCTTGTAACCAAAGAGTCCACTATATATCTGACAATATAGCAAAATTCGTTACGCATCCAATGGAACCCATCCTTATCAACAAAACTCCTGTCATCATTAATTTGTTGGCCTCTAAACCACAGGAGGTCTTTGCTGGTTTTGTCAGACTGATTGTATTATTCCCATGGAAATTCTTCAGGTCTGATCTGAAGGCAAATTCAGATGTTGGGATTTATTGGAACAGAGACTAATCATGAAACTACAGCTATCATAATGTCCAGGGATGAGATCTGATGTGAATCTATTTGCTGTTGTGTTTCTCCTCTTCAGGAAGGTTTACTATAAAATGGCAGAAAACATGATCAAGGAAGCAACTTTCCTCAGGCTAAGGGGGTACACTGTGAAAAAAACGATTTAAGCTGGGAACGCATTCTGTCTCAGCCCTAGAAGTCAAGGTCACCCAATGACCCTGCTTGCAATATGTAGTGGTGATACTATCTTTAAAATGATTTTAGACTCATTCTGTGTGGATATACCTAACTTGCATATGCCTGCTTGGAATGTTCTGCTTCATTGCCTTGAACTAAAGTACTGAAGTACTCCAGGAAACATTTTTGAGTACCTCCTTATTGTTGTTCCGTTCAAGTCACTTCTACCTTATGGCAACCCTAACATGGGGTTTTCTTGGCAGGATTAGTTCAGAAGTGGTTTGCCTTTGCCTTCTTCTGAGGCTGAAAGAATGCCACTTGCCCAAGGTCATCCAGTGGCTTTCATGGCTGAGGGGGGATTCGAACCTTGGACTCTGGAGAGAGAATCCAACACTCAAACCTCTATACCATGCTGGTTCCTATGACTAAAAGATGGCCAAGCAGTAAAGAATGTTGACATTCATATCTTTTACTACAAGCTGGGAGTTGTCAATCTTTCTTACATTAAACAGGCCATTTTTTGTGGGATTATGGCAAAAGGAGGAGTATCTTCATAGAGTTCAAGTGACATGTACACTTTGATACCCCGGCCCCCTCCAGGCATCATAGAATCACGCAGGAAAACTGCATTCAAAGCACCCCTGACAGACGGCTATCCAGCCTCTGTTTAAAAGCTTCCAAAAAAGGAGCCTCCATCACACTCCAGGGCAGAGAATTCCACTGCTGAACATCTCTCACAGTCAGGAAGTTCTTCCTAATGTTCAGATGGAATCTCTTGTAGTTTGAAGCCATTGTTCCGCGTCCTAGTCTCCAGGGCAGCAGAAATCATACCAGCATACTAGCAACAAATTATATTGGCTGAGTCCTGTATTACACAAGGACTGTCTCAGTGGGAGCAAGAACCATGGTGAACTCTGCCCCAGAAATAGTACACTAAGAGCAAGTAACTTATGACACACAGAAGTTACCCGGTATGGGTTCATCCTATGGAACACTGAGATGTATGGTTTGGTGAGGATGCAGCATAGTGTAGTAGTCTGAGTGTTGGACTACAGCTCTGAAGACGAGGGCTTGACTGCCCTCTTAGGTATGGAAACCCACTGGTGACCTTGGGCAAGACACACTCTCAGCCTAAGAGAAAGGCAAAAGCAAAGGCAATCTGGCTCTGAACAAATCATGTCCAAAAAAGCCCTAGGAGAGTTTCACCTTGGGGTCACCATAAGTTGGAAATGACTTGAAGGTGCATACAATAACAACACAATTAATTTAGAATTCCCTCTTGGAATACTTGAGGGCTTCAGTTCAGGGAAATGAAACAAAAACTTCCCAGACTATAAATTCTAGGATTCCACAGAATTGAGATAAAAGAAATCTCAATCTCATTTAACTGTGTGGAGATATATATTGTCCCCATATTTAATTTCAATTAATGAAACAGTAGTGAGAGTGTCAAAGAAAAAGTAGAGCTCCTTTGACACCCCAGCAACTACTTGCATTGCCTGATCTTCAGAGAGAAACAATGTAAACCTGAGGGTGTGTGCTAATCTTCAGCACAGTGGAGCTAAGGATATTCACCTAGTGTAACCATATAACTGCTCCTAAGAGACACCCATTGGGATGCCCTTCTTTTGCTCATTAAAAAACAGCAGTAACAATCCCCTCCCCTGTTATCATTTCCTCTTATTGTTATGCCATTGAGAAGTGGTTTTCAACCAGGGAGGCTTCAAGTGCTAGATTTTTAACTACCAAACTCTCTGATCACATCTGCCATTCTGGAAATGAAATCAATGGTCTCTGAAGTATTGTTGGTTGAGAATCAGAGCCTACAAGGGGGAGGGGGGTGTCCCATTAGTCTGAGTCCAGTGAGCCAAGGAGAGCCCCATGAATTTCTGATGGCCCCCTCCCTTACAAAAAGCAACCCTCGTAGCCCCTTACAATTGCATTATTTTACAAAGGTTATAAAACATGTAATGCCTTGGGTTGTTTTTAGCTTTTTTCCTATGAAACAAATGGATCAGTTTACCCAAAGGAGCTGGTCTTCACCCACCCTGAAAGCAGTCTAGTTTTGCTTTGCAAAATTTCCAATGCCCTGGGAACCACAGTTCCAGAGTCCAGGATCTAGATATTGCTAGTTCAATAGAACAATGTAATAATATTTTAGGGCAGAATCTGTCCAAAAAGTTATATGATGTATGACATCTACATTACCTGAAGAAACAAACAGTTATGTTACAGGAGTCAAATGAATCAACACTCATTAATAACATGAGGCTGAGCCTATGCACACTTACTCATAAATATGTCTCCTATAAACTGCCTAGGGATGTGTGTGTGTGTGTGTGTGTCTATATCTATATTGTAGAAGTACCGTAACACTTTAACTGCCAGGGTTCAATGGTATGGAAACATGGGAGTTGTAGTTTGACAAGGTATTTAGGTGACTTTGTCAACTATTGCCTATGCCTCACCAAACTTCAGCTCCCAACATTCCCCATTGAGCCATGGCAATTAAAGTGATGTCAGACTACATTAATTTTCAATAATAGATGCATCCTAGAACAGAGGCCTTTGAGTTTGCAGAAAGGAAAGTATTTTGAAATGATTTGCATCCTGCAGAAATACAAGCCAAAACAGCTCACCTAATCTCAGTGGCTGCTATACTACAGAGGAATGCTTGCTATATATGTAGCTATTTGCTGTATTGAATACCAAAAACACAGAGAATTTATTATATCTGTTTGCACGCCATGGCCACAAGTCAAACAGTAGTGCCCAAAGCTACCTGACAGGTCTTTGCATGCCTACAGCCTGTTCAAATTTCCTATATACTGTAAAACATGAAAAAGGGGTGGGCACATTAGAAGTGTATCATGGGAGAAGGTCTTTGGTGTGCAGAACAACAATTTGGAGCCTCTTTCTAAAGCTGGTTCACATTTTGCATAGCAGCAACACATTCACAACTGTTTGTTGAAGCCCTGCTGTTCAGACTTCCTCTCCTCTCTAGTTGCACCAAAGCTTTGTGCTTTACCATGGAGTTTCTATCTCTCTTTGCCCCAAAAAGACACAGTCCACCATCTTTCTTCCTCAACTTATGCCTCTGAATCTATGGGCCCCCCAGAAAGCATTCAGGGAAACAAAAACAATGAATACCTGGAGTTCAGCTCTTTCACTTCGAGGTTTTCCTTGCCATATTTCCCTGATTTTATTTTTAACAAAGATACCAGGAGAACATTTTGCAGGTATCTAGGAAGCTTATACAGGTGCATTTCCCTTACTGAGTTAGACACCTTCCATTTAGCCTGTGCAGTAATGACTCTGGGGAAATACATGAATAATATTATACATTTGATGGGTCTTTACCACAAAGGTGTAATTATGTAAACTTATTTACAAGGAATACAACTGCCCTCTTGTTTCATCTTACCATACAGAAATGTCTATTGGATTATTTACAAACTTCCATATAAACGTCATACAATGTATACTTGCAAACATATAACTAGCAATATAAGATGCCTAACACTTCTACCGGGAACATACTCAATTATCACACAACAAATATAATTCAAGTTTGTCACAGTGCACATTTTCAAGTGTATACACTCTACATGCCTGCCTTGACATTGTAGCAAATATACACCTGTTGCCACAATGTATGATGCAGCTCCAAGGTTACAATGCTTTTTAAACAACATGCTGTAGCTACTGGTATTTTTATCTCAGGTGCTCAAGGCACTACACACTGAGGAAATATGCTCTGGATGGTAGCTCTATTTTCTTTTTAAAAAACATTCTGAATTGTTTATCAAACCAAAATCAAGACGGTATCATGTTTTCACTTCACAAGCCAATCTAATTTTAAAATGTTTTGTCATGATTAATCCTACATTATATACTTTGTAGATACAGCTATTATTTATTTATTTATTTATTTATTTACTTTGCTTATATACCGCTGTATCTCAAGCCCGAAGGCGACTCACAGCGGTTCACAAACAGTAGAAACAGTAGAAACAGCAGTGGTTCCATACAACATATAACAATTGACTTAACACATTATCCATAAATTACCAATAAGCAATTACAATGCACAATTATTACAAAAAACAACCGTACCCAATCTTCTCATCATCCAAGCGGAGTCCAGATTCGTCGTCCATTGTTCCATTCCTATGTTCCATTACCAGATTGCACTAAATTACTCAAACGCCTGCACAAACATCCAGGTCTTCACCTTTTTGCGGAATACCATTAGAGATGGTGCTAGTCTAATGTCCGTAGGAAGGGCGTTCCACAGCCGAGGAGCCACCACCGAGAAGGCCCTATCTCTCGTCCCCGCCAGCCAAGCTTGAGAAGCAGGCGGGATCGAGAGCAGGGTCTCCCCGGAAGATCTCAAACTCCTGGTGGGTTCATAGGCAGAGATGCGGTCAGATAGGTAGCTTGGGCCGGAACCGTTTAGGGCTTTAAAGGCCAACGCCAGCACTTTGAATTCAGCCCGGTAGCAGATCGGTAGCCAGTGGAGTTGGCGCAACAGGGGGGTTGTATGCTCCCTGCGCTCCGCTAGTCACTGATGTATCAACTTCTAAAATTATTAACAAAATAAATCTTACGTATCTGATACATTTTACTTTTCCTATAATCACAAATCAAACCTAAAGCTAATATCCAACTTCTGGATTAAGCAGAGGTACTAAAATGAGGCTGAATCATATTATAAGTTGTTCAAAATGGAAAAGCTTTTGAAATAGCAAGTCATAAGGATATGTTAGCATTAAAGAGATTCTGTGACCGTAAAATGGTCTGCACTAGTTACAACTGTGATGCATCAATTTTATGCCTGATGGAGTTGTACGTTTGCTGAGAAAGGTTTGCTGAGTCTCCTTGAGACTCTTTTGGAATCAGCGTTAACAGAATGAAGTATATCCACTAACACAGGGCATCAGAGGGTTGTCTTCAATAGAATTATCTCAGTGCCAAACTAGACATTACATTAAATACATGTATGCAATACATGCTGAAGCTATAGGAATAAGAGAAGACTGTATAGGCTTTGTGAGGATAAGTGATGTGACAGGTGGAGGGCTTGTAGGCATTTTGAAAATATTGGAAAAATCAGGCTGAACATGCAATACTTGTGTGCATAGGGTTATGATGGAGCTGCTAATATGAGTGGTTATTTTA